TGAACCCAGGGCTTCACACATGCTAGGCGAGCGCTCTGCTACTGAGCCACAACCCCAGCCCATGGAAGATGTTTATTGATGATAATACTCTGTGTTGAAGCAGTTGCTGTGAGACTGGCACGTCTCTTTTAGAAAGCAATTTTTTTTTTTTACCAGATATCATTAGTCATAAATACTTTTATATCATTGACCTTATCATCTTTTTTGGGGAAGCTGATCCTTAAACAAATCCCAAATAAAAAAGAGAATTTTGTGGATTAAAACCTCTGCTGCAAAATTATTGAGAACAGCAAAGCATTTAGAAAGTATTTATGTGGCTCCAAAGGAGAAGAGCTAAGTATATCAGCTCACGGGAATGCCAGGTCATCCATGGTGAAAATTGCAAGACCTGAGGATGAGGTGGTTCTCCCTGCACAGGTGTGGAAGGATGTCCATCTTGCATTGTGGAATAATTGGAATGAGACCTAAGTGGCTTCTCAGGTGTCAGGGTGTGTCCACACACTGCAGATGTGTGGTTGTGTGCAGTTCTGTGCCAGGATCTTGGATGAGCCATAGTCCCTAAACAGTGTTTGTCCCTGAGGATGGGAAGGGGAGACCCTGAGACGTGTTTTATTTCCTTCAAGCTTCTGGATTCTTTGACTTAATGTTCAATGAGTTTATATGCACAAGTTTTAAAAATACCAATTGAGTACCAGAGAAAAGACCAAAGAGGACAACATCCTAAGGAAATTATTTTCTTTGGATCTGTACTTGAAGAGTGAAAGTTTTCCTCCTTCTGCCAGCTTGAGAAACTGCTTCAAGAGGGTCTTTAGAACAAAGTGACAGGATTTGTACCCAGGATGTTTTGTATTGGGGGGTAGCTGAGGTCTAGATCTGGGGATGGTGGGCTCTACTGGGCCTTGGTGTCCCTTCCCCAGGTGCCAGGCCCAGGGAGTCTGACATTTCCTAGCTGAGGGCAGTTCTGGCTCCTGTTCCATCTCAGGGATCCTCGTCTAAAGCAGTGATAGTTTCCACTGTTGAGCATGATCGAGTGCCAGGTGGGGGCTTGGCATCCCAGAAACAGTGTCCGGAATCTTTGTCAAAGCCAGCTAAGCTGCTGGATGTGGAGATGAAGTTTGGAGAGATGGTGGGTCTGCTGAGCACCAAGGGCAAGCCATGGGACAGAGGTCCAGTAGAGTACACTTTGTTTGAGTGGCCTGGGCATCTTGACTTTGGTACCACAGAGAAGTTATTTCTCCACTAGTTTAATGCCCACTGACCAGAATGTGATTGATAGGAACAGGCCAAGACACTTCCAGGGTAGGCAAGTGCTTCTAATTTTAGTGCCCATGAGCGAGCAGAGGAGAAATGGTTATAAGAAAATCCAGTAGCTGGGCTGGGTGATGTGCTTCTGTGGTCCCAGCTACCTGGGAGGCTGAGACAGGAGGATCATTTGAACTCAGGTGTTCATGGCCCATCTGGGCAGCATAGCAACATCCTGTCTCAAAAAAAACATAAACATAAACACAAACAAGCAGAAAATGAGTACCTTTGCATGTTTTATGTATGCAATCAAAGAAATATCTCACAAAAATTAAATTTTAAACTTCCTTTTTAAATATTAACATTTGTGGGGGATTTTCTTGCTATCAAAGCAGCAAAAGATCATGGCAGGCCACCGAATGTAGATGTTCTACTATAGTATGACCTGTGTTAGGCAGTGTGGTATTACGTTTCATGTGTTTTTGGGTGATGTATGGATGTATGTACATATGTATACACACACACTTTAAAAAATTCACTCTAAACTGGGCGTGGTGGCACATGCCTGTGATCCCAATCGCTTGGGAGGCTGAAGCAGGAGGATTGCAAGTTCAAAGCTAGCCTCAGCAATTTAGTGAAGCTCTAAGCAACTTAATGAGACTTTGTCTCTAAATAAAATATAAAAAGGGCTGGGGATGTGGCTCAGTGGTTAAGCACCCCTGGGTTCTGGGTTCAATCTCTGGTATCAACCAACCAATGAACAAACAAACAAAAAACCAAAACAAACAAACAAACAAAAAAACAGCCCACAAAATACTTTAATAAAAATAATAATAAATGAATAATAAATGAACAAAGTGACAGGATTTTTACCCAAGATGTTGTCTATTGAGCGGTAGCTGAAGCCTGGGCCTGGGGCTGGTGGGCTCTACTGGGCCTTGGCATCCCTTCCCCAGGTCTCAGGCCCAGGGAGGCTGGCCAGCCCAGGCTCCATCTTATTTCCCTTTATATTTCCTGTTTATGTATAAAACAAATATTTCCCCATTTTACTTAAAAAACTTTATACATTAATTTTAATACAGGTCACATCTCTGCAGCATGGTCTGCTTCACCATTCTTCTCTACTATGGCCATTTACGTACGATGTTACCAAGTTTTCCCTACTATCAATGATATAAGGGTAAATCCTCGAATTCTACTCTGTGTTTTCACTTCCAGTTCCTTTCTTAGGTCAAATTCCTAGACATGAAGTTTCTGGGTGAAGGACATAAGCACATGAAGGTTCTTCCTGATGGCTTTCCCTCAGTGGCCCAATGCTTACCCTCTGGGGGTTTCTCTTCTCCCAATTTGTTTTTCTCATCACTGAGTGCTTTCCTTCTTTCCTTCCTGATCTCCCAGATCAGGCATTCTTCTTTAAGTCCTTGCTTTTTGTTTTTTTTTTTCCTCTCCCACAGTCCTGGGATTTGGACCCAGGGCCTCCTGCATGCTAGGCAAGTGCTTTACCACTGGGCTACACCCCCACCCCTACACTGGTCTTTTTCTTTTCAGTGCTAAAGAAGTAGCTTTTGGGTTAACAAGCAGGCATTTGGAGGAAGTGCCACTTTGAGGCTCTGTACTTAGGCAGGAGGATTGCAAATTCAATCTGTATGATTTCTCCTTGCAAAGTGTGATGGTCTGGTTACTTTCATGGCAACTCTGTCTTTCCCCATCTCACCTGGCAGGTTCTGGGGCCTTGTCACAGATGCCAGATGATTTGCATTGACCAGAAAACTGGGCAACGAAATCAAGACGTTTTCCAAAAACTTTCTGAGAGTCGTGAGAGAAAGGTAGGCATGACTGCAAAATATAATACCCTGTTTAAAAATCTTGGCGTATGATTGACACGAGAACTATATTTATAATAATGCCAAGTTAACTTTTACCAGTGGAGAGTTTGCTGCACATTCCAAGGCTGGTGTGCTAGTTTTAAGGTCCTGACCTTGTCTGTGGCTCCATCTTATTTTCCTTTACATTGGTTCCTCTTTTTTTTTTTTTTAAAAATTATTTTACGTATTTTTATGCTTGCAAATTTTGTCGAGGACATAGAGAGCATCAAAACAAATAAGGTTATTTCTTTTGTCCCAATTATTCTTTTCTTCACTGCAGTGATCTCATGGAGAGTCAAATGCCTTACTGTGAAGAGAGTAATACATAGATTCAGTAAAGTTTATTATATATATATATTCCTGCCAGTTTATCTTCTTGAAGGTTAAAATGGTTAAATGTTGTTGTTGCAGATTCCAGGTTATAAATGTTGAGCTAACATGTTGATTCTTAGGAACACTTGTTTTCAGTCTCATATTTTCTTTTGGGACTCTTTCTGGTGAAGAATTCCAGGGAGCCAAGGAAGCGGTCATGAAGCATAAAAGAATTCGAAAAAATTAACGGAAATAATGCAAACATTTAATCAATTTCTAACACTAAGGTGGTGGGGTAGTTTATTGTTAAATGTTCTGTACTGTGTTCCTTCAAAAGCAGGGTTTTAGGGCTGGGGATGCAGCTTAGTGGTGGAGCACTTGCTTAGCAGATGTGAAGCCCTGGATTCAATCTCTAATACTGGGAAGCAATAGAAATTTAAAAAGCAGGGTTATGTTCCACAGTTTTTGCCTTATACAAATGTCTATATAGATGTGGTCTGCAGAGGTGTTGCACTTGAGTGCTATACCAAGACATCTGCCCAGTTGATGAAGGCTACATCCACTGCGGATATAGTGCATGCAGAGTGCCTACAGGTGCCTACAGAAGGGATGGGTGGGCCCAAAGTCTCTGGTGTACAGGAGTACTGTTTCTCAGCATTGTTGCACAAATCTTTTATTTTTTAAATTTTAGAATACTTTAAGGTAGAAAGCTGCCAAGAGAGTACAGAGGGGATTGTGTACTCTTTACCCACATGAGCATAAGTCTTAAGGAATGAACTTGAGATTTAGTTAATTCCCAAGCCTGGCCTGAGAACAAAAGCATCCACAGAGGTTATGCAGGAATTAACAGATCTGGGGGTATATCATGTTCTCCTAAGGGTTCTTACTGGCTCACTTTCATTGATGGTGAACCTTAGGCATATTTACATAATTTTTCATTTTGGACCTTCCATCTATATCTTGAGGGAACTCAGAGAGCTTAATTTATAATTTTTAATTCTCAAGGAAAAGTGCAGAATTGGCCATTTTGATTCCCAAATGACTTTTGCATTAGGGAACAGAGGAAATCAGCCTGGCAGAGGTCAGAGGCTAAGGGCAGATAAAAGATGCTTCTGCAGGAAGCACAGGATGTATGAGAAATGCAAAAAGAATCACCCAGCTAGAAAGCCATGTGGGGTGACTGTAGGTAAAGGACACCTTGGAAAGAGAACCTTTGAGGTCTGGAATTAGGATTCTCCTCATGTTCATTGTATTCTATTATGTAACAGGTAGAACCTACCAAATAACTTGGCCCAGTGTGTTTCTAGAGATCTAATTTTATTGTAAGGATTATTATTTATAAAGTTAATTTGACCACTAAAATAACCTAGCCTTTCTTGTCCCTGTTTTGTTCACAGGTGAACTTTGGTGTATACCTGATGCATGAATCTTTGGATTTATCTTCTCCATGTTTCCTGTCTGTGGGATCTCAGGTGCTCCCTGTGTCTAAAGAGAATGTGGAACTCCACAACTCACCTGCTCTGAAGAAACACCGGGATGTTAGCTCCTAAAATTTGTGTGCATTAATTTCCTTTCTTACAATGATTTCTGCTATTCTTAAGGTTTGGTTTAGTAGAACTTGGTCTTTAAATAAGGACAGTTCTTTTCTTTGGAGGTAAGCGCATGCTGTCTTCTGCTTTCTCTGACTTCTCACTCTGCACATCTGCAGAGGCTGCACCCAGAGGAGCATTTCCAAGGCCTCAGGACTGAATACTGTGTCTATACCTGGTGAGGCTTTCATATATATTTGAAGTATGATCTGTTGTGGTCAAAGGAAAAATTCTGTTTTAAAGGATGGGGTCTCCTTATGTTGCTCAGGTTGGCTTTGAACTCCTAGGCTCAAGCCTGCCTCCTCAGCCTCCCCAATAGCTAGAATCATAGGCATGCACAGGCTCCAGATAAAGTTTTTATGAAGCAAACTAGGACTCTTGAACCTACTACCAGTCTTTATTTCACCATTTTCTTAGGAAGAATCTTCAGCCTCTTTCCAACTTCTCTGTGCTGATGAAGGGTGTCTATGCCCACTGATCTTGAGGACATGAGATGTCCCTGTCCTCCTGTGTACATGGTGGCAGTGGGCCCAGATTAATGACCACATTCCTTGAGGGGAGTTTTGACCAGAATATTTATATGATGATCCAGGAACCTCCTGTTTCTCTTACTTCCTGTCCTTGACCACCATCCTTGTCCCCTTTTTAGTTGACACATTGAGCATAGTTCACAAGTTTGAAGTTAATCAGATTAGTGCAGGGGCCAGACTGGATTTTGTCTTTTTTTTTAATGAATTCTTTCTTCTGTACAAGATAACAGGAGCTAAGTGTAACATTGAGGTAGGATAGAGTACTGGGGGACAAATGAGGCATTTGGGAGGGCTCTTCACATTTATGGTGTTCCTATTCCTATTTATCTCAGATATTCTGCGTAAACACTGAGAATCATGTTTTTAGCTCCATTTTCTAGAGGAGAAGCCAAGGTTCAAAGTAATTTGCACAAATCCACCTAGTTGGTAAGAACAGAATGGTGCTCCTGACAGCCTGTGCATAAAAAGTAATAAAGCCTATGTTTAAATCTTCATTGTTGTTGTATAGAAATAGGACTTACTTTCATGGGTCGACTCATATCTTGTGACCTTTTGAAACTTGACAATTTAGTTTTTCAAAAAAGATGTCTTTTAGAATTTGCTCATGAAAAATCATCTTACTTTGAATATGAATATATTGTGAAAATATGAAATATAAATTTGAATATGAAAATATAAATTTTATTGCCCTTTAACTTATTGCCCCAGCTAGAATTTCCAAAAATATTGAATGAGTGTCTTAAGAGTGGATATACTGCTGGGTACAGTAGCGTACACCTGTAATCCCAGTGGCTCTGAGGTTGGAGGATTGTGAGTTCAAAGCCAGCCTTTGCAACTTAGAGAGGACTTAAGAAATTCAGTGAGACCTTATAAAATATAAAACATAAAATATAAAAAAAGGGCTGGGGATGTGGTTTAGTGGCTAAGAACTTGTGTTCAATTCTCAGTACACTCCCCCACCCCCCCCAAATAGTAGTTATACTTGTCTTTTCCCAATTTTGGGATAAAGTATTCAATCTTTCATTCACTGTATGATTTATCTATAGAAATCTCATAGATCAGCTCTATCATACTGAGAAGATTCCTTTTTATTCCTAGGCTGCTGGAAATTTTTATTGTGAATGGATTTGAATTTGGTTAAAATTTAGAATGATTTAACTGCCTTGTGATATGATCACTTGCCTTTCCTTCTGTGGGCATTATCATGGAGGGTTTCATTGATTGATTTCCAAATATTGAAACAGCCTTGCTTTCCCAGGTAACCCTGTGGGTTTGCTTTGCTACTATTTTGTTGACAATCTGTGTTCATGAGAGATACTAGACTGTAATTTTCTTTCCTTGTATGGTGTGTCTTGTTGCTAAAATGTCTAACTACAAAGTGGATTTGTCTCTTTCTCTTTTCTGCTCTATCCATTTTTGATTTATGAATTTTTGAAGCTACATTTTTTTTGGTGCATTCACAATTAAGCTTGCTGTTTTCTCAATGAACTGCTTCTTTTATGGACATATAAACTCTTTTAATTAGTAATTTTCTTTGCTCAGGAGTTTGATATATGTAATGTTGATATAGCCATTATTGAGAATTATGGGCCCCCTCTCACTAATGAACATAAGTTCTAAAATTCTTTAAAAAGTGGCAAACTTAGTCCAGAAATCTCTAAAATGATTATACATTATGACTCTGTAGGGTTTACTTCAAGTATACTATATGTTGTTTTTATTTTAGAAAATTAAACAATAAGGGATTAAAAAGCAAGTCTAATTGTCTTAATAAATAAAGAAAACAATTTTGATAAAGCATCAACATTTATAATCTAGTAATTTTTTAGTAAGTGAAAGGAATATTCTGGCAAACAACACTAAATGCTGTAAAAAGTAAGTAAAAATCCCTATGGCTTGATGGTGGCAGTTTGGGTGGCAGTAGGCATGGTGGTGATTTGCGGTGCTGTGCCTGGCACAGTCTACAGGAGTCTACCCTGTCCAGCCTCCATGGCTGGTTCTTAGTCTTCTGGGGGAACCTATGAGCTACACAATATCCTTTAATCCACTTGTTTTCTGCTTAATCTTGCAGGTGTTAATTTTATTGTTTCTAAGAATTATGATGGATACAGAACCTGGTATCTGATTGTACCTTACTAAAATACGCCCCCAAGCCCATTATTGGCTGAACAGAGGAGGAGGGATAGCAGATAGAAGGTTCTAAATATTTCAATTTGGAAAGTAGATAACTTTGTTACACCATGGTAAAATATTTGATTAAACTGTTGTCTATTGTCTTCAGAGACACTAACCTCATGCCAACGAAATGACTTGTTAGAGGAAACAATAGGAAAAAAATATCACAATATTGGGGTTCCTTTTTGCAGCTTCAGCAAAGTTCTGAAGGAGAGAGATAAACTTGGGCTGGAGAGAACCACATCAAGGCCACAGCCATCATGCTGTTAGATAAGAACTCTGAAATAATTAAGGGAGACTGGGCTTCCAGAAAGCTTTGAATGTGTAGTACCATAAAAACCCAATATAGCCAAAGAACTCAAAGTTCTTGATTAAACATTGTCACAGGGGCTAGGGTTGTGGCTCAGTGGTAGAGTACTGCCTGGCATGTGTGAGGCACTGGATTCAATCCTCAGCACCATATAAGTAAATAAAATAAAGTTAAAAAAATTGTCACAAAACTTTTAATATAGTGAGTTGACCAAAATAAGACCCCTCAATTTTCCCCAAGAGCTTTGTATTAGCAAAAGTACCACCATCCTGGACTAAAAGGACTGAAGCTATTGGAAATGCAGAAACAGAATTCTAGACCTCTTTCTTCCCTTTGGGAAGAAAGAGGGACAACAAAGCTACTCAGTTGCAGAAATTGTGTATTCTGCAGAGCACAACCTTTTTCAGAAGTGGCCAATGCAGATTATGGAAAGGAAAAAATCTTTCAGAGGTTGGATCCCAGCTCACAGAGAACAATAAATTGATACAGAAATAATATGCCCAGTGTGGGAAAAGTAGAAAATACAGCTGGGCAAAAAGAGAAATAACCTCTCATACTGCCACCCTATCAGAGGAACATAAGACCCTGAATGCTTTGTGCCTAGGATTCTAGACATTTCTCTGTGCAAATACTAACTCCTGTCTTTTATTGTTTCTTTTCCTAATGCTCATTTTCCTCTCTTCTTTATTTTTGACGGTCTCTCCAGGATTCTTGCAATAAGCTCAGTTCTTGTGGACTTTCTGGGCAGCTCTTTAGGAGATAAGTGCCTGGTTTAATCATCCCTTTGAAATCTCATCTTGCTGTTGTTCTGGGCTCCATGCATGTACCTGTCATCTCCTCCTAGTCGTCTCAGTAGCTATAGTCAATGAGTATTTATTGATTATTGTGATGATCACCATGCTTGGTGCTGGGGACAAAAAGATGCATTTGATACCTACAGCTCCTACAGGACATCTGAGGAGCTGTCACATGACAGTTGAGCAGAAACCAATAAAATAATTAGTCGTAAAAAATAAAATAAAAAAGTCGTTTATTACAACATTGTTCTCATGAGGAAAACCACCTTTTCTGGGACTTGCTTTGCTGTTTGTAAATTAGAGTAAAACATTTAAAACACACTGTTTAATTGTTCATTCCAAAATGTATCATATGGCACACAGTAATGGATTTGTTTTATTTTTTTGTTAACACTTTTTATTTTGCAAATAAAAATTGTGTCATCAGAAAAAACAAACAACCCACCCCCCTGCCCCTACTGTTTGGTCCCTAATTTAAGAAAGAATATATAAACCTGTTGAAATATGGTTTCTGCTAAGACATCCCAACTGAATAAAAATGCTTATGTTGGATTCATAATAGTTGGACTCTTTTAACATGTTTTGCTTGTGGTTCAAATTAGCTGGTTCAAAAATAAAGTTGCTTAATGATGTGAGTCATTAATTCATTCAGCAATGTTTAATTCTGTGGAAGCTGATAGCTTCCCACTTGGTTATAAAATGCGGAAGAAAACAGATCATTTGGTGATGTGGCAGAGCAGTATATTGGAACTTTGACTGTTGTAATTAAAATTGATTACATACAAAAAGTATTCTTCTCTATACATTAAAATGTGCTTATTTCCTTAACAGAGCTTGTTAATTTCAATATTTGTGAATGAAAACTGATAATGCCTTACAGAACTTGAATTCTTGCAACTCTATGGGATAGGTATTCAATCTTTACATTTTTTAAATGAGGAAACTGAGTCTTAGGTTAAGTGACCCACTTAAGATCAGGGAATTTGTACATAGCAGGGGTGAGATTTGGGCCCAGGTTGGTCTCTTCTCTGTGGTGCTAAACTGGCTATATCTTTGTAAGTGTGGGCACTGTTCTAAGCCCTACAAATGCGTTAGATCACTTGATCTTTTTAAACACATGTATGAGCAAGCTACTAGTGCTATCAATCATCTCATTTAGAGATGAGGAAACTGAGGCACGGAAAGGGTAAGTCACTTGTCCCTGGTTCCTGAGCTGGTAAGTGGTCAGGCTGGGATTTGAACTGGAGCCTCTAATTCAGGTGTCCATGCTCTGCTCACCTCACTCATGGAAAACTGCTATTGTTTAATGAATGAACAAATTGCTTTCCTTTTTACATACCTCAAAAACATGATAAAAAGCATCGGTAAGAGACATGATCGGGAGCTGAAAAGGCCCCTGTACCTCCCATTTTCCTGCGTTGTGAGAAAAGGAAAAGCCATATTTCTTGCATTCAGGGAGCTTGGTGGTTCATATAGGCCAGCAGAGGGCTGGACATCTAGCTTTAGCAGATGTCCAGGGGCAGGGCTTGTGTTAGTCGGATTTTCATCTCTGTGATCAAAATACCTGACAAGAACAACACAGAGCAGGGAAAGTTTATTTTCTGGTTATAGAGGTTCAGTCCATGGTTGACCATCACCACTGCTTGAGGCCTGAAGTGAGGCAGAACTTCATGGTAGAAGGGTATGGTACAGGAAACCTGCTTAGCTTGTGGTAGCTGGGAAGTGGAGGTGCAGGAGGGACTGGGGACAAGATAAATCCATCTACGATTTGCCTCAGTGGCCTACTTCTTCCAAATAGGTCCCACCTCCCCATAATCCATTCAGCCAGTATTGGGTCAATTCATGGATGAGGTCAAGGCCCCTGTGATCTGAACACCCCCTAACAGCTCCACCTCTGAACCTTGGTGCATTGGGGATCATGCTTTCAACACAAGACTTGGGAGGACATTCCAAATACAAACCATAATAGTTTTGGGGGAAGGATAAGAAATTCACACTATGATAGAGCAGTGTCATCTGTGGGGGAAGCAGGAAGCTAAGTTTGAGCTTTCCTGTATACTTCCAGGAAATATGGCCTCCAGGGTCCTTGGCAGGGGAGATGAAGTGTAATTTTGGAGCATGCCCCAAACTTTCTGCAGTGGTGAGGGAAGTTAGGTGCTGGAAAACTGGCTCCAGTGAATGGCATTTGCTCTTTAGTGACCTTGCCTTGATTAGAAGAAGACTTCAGGACCAATTATGCCCCATCTTTATCAACTTTCCTTTATCTAAAACAAGGGTGGCAAGTTGCTGAGGATAGCACCAGCTACAGGATCTAGTGTGTAGAGATCCTCTGTTGGAACCAAACACTGGCTGGTACCTGAATAGGGTCCTAATACAAAAATCCTGCCATGCACCCTAGTAAGCAAAATCCTTCACTGGGCACAGGGTATTCTGAGCACCCCAGATTGTTGAGAAAGGCTGGGGCTCTTTCTTCCACAGGGAAAGGTTTCAGGTGCCCTTGGAAGCAGAAGGAAAGCTAAGATGCACCTGGCAGCATCTTGCAATCTGTCCTTTTCCAATCTCTTCTCATGCTGATGAAATTAACTTCTACATATTTCACTGAGCAGATCCCCAAATTAATATCATGGCAAATACTACCCTTTAGAAGTGAGTTACTAAGTCTCACCTGAAAAGTGAGGAAAACCACAGTACTTTTCTTATAAAATTGTTTAAGAATTAAAGGAGACATTTTGTATTTGGTACAATGTCTTAAAATTATTAAGTCGTAGGAAGCCAGGTCTACCACCCAGTGGCAGCATTAGGTAAGTGCAGATTGTTGTGTCTTCAGGAGATTGAAAACTAGTTCAAATGGGATGGGTCAATCTGAACAGAAGACTGGCACACAGTATGGCATTTTGGACTCTGCCTGGCTTCCTGAATGGATCGGATCTGAGAAAATTTTCATTACTGAAGTTTCCATCCTTTAAAAGTTAGTTCCTGAATTATTTCTCAGATTACTTTTCAACCTACTTTGCATCCATCATTCTTTTGGGGTCTCCTATTTTCCTTAGGATTTTTTTTTTTTAAATGCTACTTTTAATTGGGTATTTTGCCAGGTCTGTCTGTTTCTTTCTTGTATGTATGACTGTGCTCACACACAAAGATATATACAGAGAATGGTTAGTATGTAACAAGCTTATATCTAGCATAATGTAAGGTAGCATAACATAAGCATATGTAACTCTTTGGCGCTCTGCACAGGAACATGAAGGCCCAGAGAGAGCTGGCCCAGCCTCTGGTTGCCAGCTATGGCTTACACCTTTACTCTTTCAATCTCTGAGCCATGAACCTCAGAAGTGTAGAAACCTGAGCCTATACACCCAAATGTCATCACTCTTCTGTAATCAGCTACCTTCTCAGGTTAGGGGTGAAGTGGGGTCTACTCTTAAAAGGATGATTTGGGGAATAGGCATATAGAAGCCTTGGACACATGTTCAGAGCCATTTGGGTAAGAAATTATTTTGTTTCAGGTACCCAGAGAACAGTCTAGAGGGAGCAGCTTGGTTCAGACATAATATCTCAGTCCTATTGACTCCTAGGCCTGTGAGAGCCAGAATGAGGCCTCTAAGGCATGGAGACCAAGGCTGGGGCCCTTCTTGCTCTGAGCTAGAGGTAATACTGGTAAGAATTTTTCTGGATAAAGCAAACCACCCCAGAGAGGGGACAAAGACACTCAAGGAGAAATCTGTTTCCCTAATGGCTGTATCTGTAGTGAAGCCCACCAGGTGAAGCACCTCAATATACCTGAGAGCTTCTAGTCAGCTTCCAGAGTCAGAGAGTCATCCACAGAGCATAGGAGCAGTGCAGCCAAAAGACGAAAACCTGAAAGAAAATGCAATTATTGATAGCAAGATATTTTAAAAACAAAACCCAAGAAACTTTAAAAATTAAAAATGCAAGTGCAATAAAATTCAGGATAAGAGAAGGAAAAAATACTTGAGAAATTCCTCCAGAAAGTAGAACAAAATAATCAAAGAGACTAGCAAGACAGAGAAGTTAGAAAAAAATGAGAGAATTTGTATGGTGGTCCAAGATGCAAAAAAAAAAAAAAAAAGGAAAGAAAGAAAGAAAAAAAAATTCTAGATAAGGCTGGGGGTATAGCTCAGTGGTAGAACACTTGCTCAGCACACGTGAGGCCTTGAGTTCAATCCCCAGTAGCGGGGAGAGGGAAACAAGCAGAGAACACTGTGGAGAGGACATTATCAAAGATATGATACAGGACATTCCAACAATGAAGGACAGAATCTCAAGATAAGAAAAAAAAATTAACAATGCACTGATAATCTGGAAAAAGAGCACAGATCAGCATAGCTCATCATAAATTGTCAGTATATTGGAAATCATAAGAAGGTTCTAAAAGAAGAAAGGAGGGAGGGGAAGGAGAGGGATGATGAGGAGAGAGAGAGAGAAAAAGAGAGAAAGGGTGATCCTCATAATTCTGAGTGAAAATCACTTTTGGCCTAGAATCATGTATGGCATGTATTAGATTGTTAGGAAGCTGACTGCCACAGTTTCTCCTACTCAGTGACTTTCCAACAATGTGTTTTACTTTCTTACCATCCGGGGGGACAATGTATCTTCTCATTCCTGTAATATCCTGGTGGCCTTGGCTTACTTCACATCCCTTTCCGTACTCCAAAGTAGAGAGGCGGGGGGGGGGGGGGGGGGGGGGGGGGGGGGGGGGGGGGGGGGGGAAGACAATGCATAAAATCTAAGCCCAGGACTCAAGAGGCCCTACAACTTTTGCTGTTGACCTCTGAGAATGGTACCCTGAAGATCACCAGTGTGCAGAGGCCAAGCCTAGCCTGCTGGATGAGAAGCCACCTGGAGACAAGATGAGCAGTCCCAACAGAAGTCTCCTAGACCAGTCAACTGACAGCCAGCATATATAACCAGACTCAGAGGGAGGCTATTTTAGTCCATCCAGCTCTAGTCAAGTTTTCAGGTGACCCCAACTGCATGAGTTCCCCCAGATGTGCCCTCTCAGATTGCTGGTCCATTGAATTGAGAGAAAATAAAATGATTACTTTAAGCTAGTACATTTTGGGGGTGGTTTGTTTTGCAACAAAGACTAAATAAAATAGAAATTGGCCTTAGCAAAAATTTGAACTGATTAACATAGATTTTAGAATCAGGCATGGGGCACAGGCTGGGAAAGTGGCAAGGAAGCTTCTGTTTGAATCTGTGCACAGATGAGAACTTTCAAGAGTAAATCCTCAGATACAACTCCTTCGATCCCTAGACATTGATCTCAAAAGACAAGATTCATGCCTCTCATTCACCCAATGTACAATGGTGAGACAGGGGCAGAATAACTTCTAACGGGCACTCCTATTTATAAATGGAGAGATCGGGAGACACATAACAATTGAAAACTCTGGCCAGGTACATGTTGCCAGCTCCTATTCCAGGAGAGTAGGACCCAGTTCTGCTCCCAGGGATAGTCCCCAAGTCCACTATTCTCCTGGCTCTTACACCATGCTATGATAAAAGATTCCATTTCCTAAAGAAATGGCACCATGCCTTCACCTGAATATTTCTCATAGCCTGCTTCTTACCTATTGCAAGTTGGATTTACAGAGGCCTCTCTTTTCTTTCCCTTTT